TCTATCCAGTACTCATTCTAAGCATCCGAATGTCCATGCGTGTAAGAGGACGTGGGGGTCGTGGTGGACGCTAATGAGGAATAGTCTCGGAGGATGGAGGCGACTGTTATAGAGCATGAGACACACGGGACATCTTGCTTGATGACCTGTAGAGGCAGAACCAGGAGTTGCAGAGATAAATCGACGAGTTAAAGGACCAAGTAGCACATCCGCATAGGCGGTGTGCTATCGACTCAGATCGTGCCAATGATTCCAAACTTAAGTTGGAGTATTCAAGATATCATGGTTTTTGAAGGGGTTATGATCAATCTTGGGATTATGTCAAGGTGGATCTTCTTGAGCTTTAGGGAGGTTCCCAGCTCAAGGAGTTCATTGATTGGTTGCATGCGGTGGAATGCATGTTCGAGTATATGTACCTTCTTAAAAGAAGGTTAAACTAGTTGCAATCAAACTCAAGGGCCGAGCTTTTGCATGGTGGGAATAGGAGCGGCACATGCGGGAGAGGCGAGGTAAACACAAGATTAATGATTAAAGAAGTTAAAGGAGAGAGTTTCTTCCCTTCAACTATGCTCAAAACATGTTGCAGTGGTTGCGGCAATTGCGAAAAGGGAGTACACCGTGGAGGTGTACATAGAGGAGTTTCATATGTTGGTTGTACACAACAACCTGGCACAGACTGAGGAACAACTAGTTGCTTACTACCTTGGAGGTCTCTGACAATCACTTTAGAATGACCTGCTCCATCCGTTCCAAGGTTTCCGAAGCCAGTCAGCATGCCTTGTTAGCCTAGAAGAAGCAGTATCGAAGGGGTTCGAGATCTTATCTTGGAGATGCAAACAACTGTTTCCCTGCATCAGCACTTACCAACACCAATCGGAGAGTAACAACACCAAATGCTGAGACTAGCATGGTAAGGCCGAATCCCAGGGCCCTTGGTCGTTTCACTTGTGGAGAGCTGGGTCATTGAGATGCCCGACTGTGCTAATCAACTGTACAAAGGCAAGGTCTGATGGTTTGATGCGGGATCAGATCTAGAGGAACTCGAGCATTACAACAATAATGAGGATGATAAAGACGAGGTTGCATTTTCACTATAGGTGATAGAACCCATACGACATTTGTCGCTTAGAGAGTCCTCGCACCTTGAGAAGAAGAAGAGTGGTTGTGAACTAACATCTTTCACACGGCCTGCACCATAAAATAAAGGTTTTCAAAATCATCATCGACGGAGGGAGGTGTGAAAATCTTATTTGTAAAGAGGTCTTTAAAAGATTCAACTTGACCACACAGCTTGCACCATAAAAGGGAAGGTTTTCAAAATCATCATCGATAGAAGCACCCTCGACCGAACAAACTAACTTGGTCGATAAAGGACAGGGAGGTGGTGGTTGATTCTTTGATTACTTTTTTTTATCGGGAACAATAACTTTGGATAAGGCTTGGTGTTGTCCTCGTGGATGCATGGCATCTCCTGCTATGACGTCCATGGCAGCATGATCGAAAGATGGGAGACCTGATGGTAGGTGAAATTCATATGCCTTCTAGAAGGATGGCAAGAAGTTTTGTGCTGATGCCCATGAAGGAAGAAGCTGGACCTAAACCCGTGTCGGAAGAAAGATGAAACATGTTCTCGAAGAAAACTCTCATCAATGAGGCGCGACCATTCGAGGAGGCCAAAGAACTCACGGTTGTGCATGCCTTAGATACCGCAGAACCTGAGGAGTTCAAGGTATCGGAAGTCCCGGGGTCACCAAATCTCTATTGCATGAATTTGCAGATGTCCCTAATAATCTGTCAAGCGCCAACTGCCCTCCCACCAATGGGAGATCCAGCATTGCATCAACCTGGTTCCGGGGTAGTCTTCCCATTAGACCTGCATACCAGATGAGTTTGATGGGCATATCAGATGAGTTCGAGGGAGCATGAAGAGCTAAAGCTGCAAGTTGTGAAATTGTTGGAAAAAGAATTCTGCGACCTAGTATGAATCCTTATGCCCTACAAGCCCTGTTAACACCAAAGAAGGATGACACCTAGATTGATAGTCAAAACATAAATAAGATCACTGTGAAGTTCCACTTTTTGATACCCCTTCTTGATAACATGTTGGACCAACTAAGGGGGTGTTTGGTTCCTGTTTTTAGAGGGAGAAAGTAGGGGGAAAGCTGCAAAAATGTCAGCTTTTTGGCAGCTTTCCCCGATTGCATCAACCTGGTTCCGGGGTAGTCTTCCCATTAGACCTGCATACCAGATGAGTTTGATGGGCATATCAGATGAGTTCGAGGGAGCATGAAGAGCTAAAGCTGCAAGTTGTGAAATTGTTGGAAAAAGAATTCTGCGACCTAGTATGAATCCTTATGCCCTACAAGCCCTGTTAACACCAAAGAAGGATGACACCTAGATTGATAGTCAAAACATAAATAAGATCACTGTGAAGTTCCACTTTTTGATACCCCTTCTTGATAACATGTTGGACCAACTAAGGGGGTGTTTGGTTCCTGTTTTTAGAGGGAGAAAGTAGGGGGAAAGCTGCAAAAATGTCAGCTTTTTGGAAGCTTTCCCCGAAAATCGCCTCTTTAAGAGGCGATTTTGGGGGAAAGCTGCCAAAAAGCTGACATTTTTGACAGCTTTCCCCACTTTTACAGCTCCAAAAAACCAATCCAAAAGGGCCCTAACAGGTGCTAATGTCTTCTCCAAATTAGATCCGAAGAGCGGGTACCACCAGATTCGTGTTTAGCTAGGCGAAGAATGGAAAACTGTGTTTATGACGTAGGATGGACTATGCAAGTGGACGGCGCTGCCGTTTGGTTTGCCCAATGTACCAAGCAATCGTCCACCTTGAATACCACACAGTGATGATGCATATTTGCAGCAGCTTCATACTTAAGAATTGGCGGCCTCAATTTGTTGCTAAACTTGATCCTAGATACTTTGCAGATGGTCGGCCATATCTTCAGCTTGACATGGGTCGCCCTGCTCTAGGAACTGAAGCTAAGTCGAGGACGCCCTGTGGATTTCTAACATACACTATCTTAAATGGGCTCTTCTTTGTGGTGCAATTCTGTGAACGGCTGTAAGTGAATTCAGCTGCATAAAACATGAGATCCCACTTCTTTGGATTGCCCCAAACTAGACTAAGATGAAGATTCCCCAAAATTCTGTCCACTACCTCTGTCTCACCGACTGTTTGTGGATGATAAGCACTATTGTAACAGAGCTTGGTTCCCCACACTTCTGTTCACGAACTCTGTCTGACCATCTATTTGTGAAAGATAAGCACTATTGTGACAGAGCTTGGTTTCCAACCTCCTCCATAACGCTCTTCAAAAGTAACTCATAAATTTGGTGTCTCTATCCGAAGTGAGGACGTTAGGACTCTATGAAGACACACAATCTCCTTGAAATAGAGATCGGCTATTCGAGATGCATCCATTGTCTTCCTGCAAGCTAGAAAGTGAGGCATCTTTGAGAAATGATTGGCAACGACACAGATCGAATCCATTCCCCTTTGAGTTTGGGGTAGCCTAACAGCAAATTCTATGCTGACATCCACCCAAAGTGCTGCGGGAATTGAAAGCAGTGTGTATAGTCCCACATTAGTTGTTGCTCCTTTCGACACTTGGCACACATAGCAGAGCTTTCCAAAACAGATCACTTCCCTCTTCATGTTAGGCTAATGATAATATCGGGAGATCATCGCCAAAACCTTCTTGCTGAAAGAGACCCTCATTATGAAGCTCCTCGACTATCTTTGCTTGCAGCGAGCAATCTAAAATGCAAAGTTGTAGTCCCCAAAAGAGAACCATTCACTATGAGATCACTTGAGCGATGTTGCTGCTGTTCCACATCTTTATAAATAGGACCAAAGAAGGAATCCGTAGGATAGAGATATCGAAAGGTATCAAAACCCACGACTTGTGCCTGCAAAGTAGATAGCAAAGTCGCTTGTCTGCTCAGCGTATCTGCCACTGATTGTTGACCCCCAGAATGTGCTTCATAGAAAAACCAAATTGTTAGAGATACTCAACCCACTGAGCATGTCTGCGGTTCAGTTTGAGTGAACCATTGATATACTTGAGAGCTTCATGTTTTTAAAGGAGAATAAATTCGCGTTGTAGCAGGTAGTGCTCCCAATGCTATAGGGACTGCACGATGACGTAGAAGTTTGCATCATAGGTACTGTAATTTCCCTTCAAACCGTTTTAGCCATAGGTCGCCCCTCTTAGCTAAGTACACCGCCATGTCTATGCCAGATGCGTCACAAGCTATCTCAAACACCTTAAATCAGGTAAGACAAGTGCCAGAGCAGTCATCATCAACTTCTCCTGAATGATCTGAAACACACATTGTGCTTCATTAGTCTAATGAAAGGGTACTCGGGCTTTGAGGTAATCTGTGATCGGTGCCATCAATCTACTGAAATTGGGCATGAATCGCTGATAGAAGGATGTAAAGCCACGGAAGTTGCAAGCTTCATCGATGTTTCTCAAAACTGGCCAGTATTGCACCACCTACACTTTAGTTGGATTGGCTTGTACCCCATCTATCGAGACAATGAACCCAAAAAATGTGACCCGTTCTGTCAAGAATTGACTTCTTCGATTGTGCAAAAAGCTGTTCTTGTTTTAGCACAGCCAACATGTTTGATGATGCAAGTTCGGGATCAAACTCTTTTCAGCTCAGGAAGGATGATGTAGCTCTAGCTTATATGGACCAGTTTGACCCTATTAGGGTCAAGGTTGGCGGAACTTTAAACAGCACATAATCGCACAAAAAACCAGTCATTTTGAAGCTCTATCAAAATTCCATTGTTTTGGGCCTTAAAATCGCGGTCGAAGATTTTCTCTATATTTTAGGCAGTGTTTGACCATCTAATACAGAGGGGTAAATAGACACGGTTTTAGCAGAAAATTGATATGGAAGATCCTCTTTGCTAATAGGAGGATATTTTCCAGTTTTTGGCATTTTTCTATTTTCAGTTGGAAAGACATTATTTTGTCATTTTCCTTTCATTTTTGAGTCTTGAAAAGACTTTTTTCTGGATGTATAGAGGGAGTTCTTTTAGAAGAATAGAACCCTAGTCATATTGGTTGCGGCTATTTATTTGTATTCTGTGTCTTTCTGCATAGTCTGTAGTCTTGATCCGATTGCATCCTGACCATGACTGCATCAGCTTATAAGCTAGTTTTTTAAAGGTTGGGGAACCCCAACTTTTCTTTAATGTAACATAAGAGCTAGCTTATCAGAGATGTCATCAAATATGTGAATACAGATGAGTTAGCTTATCGTCTACTTCAACCAAAAAAAATAAACTCTCCGAAACATCCTCTAAAAGAGATTTTGAAATAAGCGGATAATTGAACTTTGAAGATATTTATATCACTATGGAATAATTTGGTCCTCTAGTTGGTAATAGCCCTAGTATCTTGTATGCTCCTAACACATTCTAAATCATAGTCATCCTATCAATCATGGAATATAATTGGCCTGTGCTCCCTCTCTGCCTCGCTCCATGTGTCAACGTTGATCCAGCATGCTTATAACTTGGTCTGTGACATGCTACATTGTTTGCAGAGCTGATTACATCTTCTAGTAATATGAAAATGACATTGTTGCAGCATTGATGTACGTTGTTCTTCCAATGCCTCTAATGTTCTTTGCGGGCTCCAACTCTTCTTCGCTTATGTCTGCTGATGGAGATAGGTTGGTAGATATATACTTTCTTCTACTAGTTTACCAATGCTGAAAGACAATTTTCTCTGCTTATCTCACTTTGATTTCAAATCCATGGCAACACAACAGCTGGGTAAATTTTACAAAGTTCTTGACTGGAGTTTCTGTGGTAGGAAGCATCGCAATACCGTCCATCTTAAAGCATGCAGGTATCATTGGATGGGGAGCTCTGGCAATGGAGCTTTCATCTTTCTTCATCTTTGCTGTGGTGATTCTATGTTTCTTACAGACAAACAATGATGATGATTACAGCTACTTCTGAATGTTTCAACTAATGAGCACCATACTGATTCTGTACAGAAGTGATCAAATTCCACGCCATTGTTTATAGATGATTTCTTGTAATTTTCCATCCCATTGTAGATGCTAAAGTTTGTAAATGTGTTCCCTTCTGATATGATGTTAAACTGTGTGTTTCGCACGCAGCTGGAGGTAGCGTTATGCTCAAAACGTTGAAAGGCCAAATTGGTTTGTTATTTGTCAAAAGTTTTCTTCGCCCTGAACCAAAATATGCGAGATAACTTCATTTCGATTCGTTAGAAAACTTATGAAGAGATATGCTAATGCATTTGGCGGTGGTGTTGCAAATGTATGATCTTCGATCCCAACTTCGAGATGATTTTTCCATTCCTGCGTGTATGTTCCTTCCGTGAGACTGCCCTTGTTTACCTGCGTGAAATTTTTGCATTTGCTTTTGCTTCCTCTTGGATAATTTTATTGGGTGCTCTGGTTTCTTTTGCTTCCTCTGGGATGATTTCTGTGTGTAGACCCATGCTTCGTTATTTAATTCTTGCTCTTACCCTTATGTACCCTGTATTCTTCTGATTCTATGTTTCCACACGCCTCTCTCTACTATATATCTATAACGTGGGGCCCAATCCCTTATCGAGCCCCTTAACACCCGATGATAGAGATCTTGTTGGAATCATGACATACAACACAGCGAAAAAAGCATATCATGACTATTAATCAAAATTAATTAAATATTAGAAGAATACTTGAAACGTTTTTCGAATTTTTACAATAATTTGTCCCGAGATCAATCCGAAATAGCTTCCTCAAGAGAAAAAGCCTCCAATTGAAATCCACCCGTCACCGTTCAAGAGAAAAAGCCTCCAATTGAAATCCACCCGTCACCGTAGAGGAGCAATACTGAGAGATAGGTTCTCAAAAATCTATTTCTTCATATTATCTTCATAAGATTTTCAATCTCATCTACCTCCTCTCATAAGGCTACATATGAACCCTATTTATAGGATTACAATAGTCTTAGAGATTTTAACTTTAAACAATTAATAATTATTTATAACTCTATCCATAACAATTAAAGATAGAATAGATTTGTTTAAAAACTTTATCCATAATAATTAAGGATAGAAATAGAATTGCATTGCATGTATACCTCTTCTAATGACACCAGTGAGACCAATTGGGTCCCATATCGAGAACCAATTATTAATCAAATTAATAATTTTAATTTAACAATCAAATCCCTATTCGACCAATTGTTCATAAAAGCTCTTCCATAATATGGGATTAATTATTAATAAATAATATCTTAGATTCACTCCCTTCGAGTATCATTTATTTTAGACAACTCTTTTAAGCAGGACAACTCACCTATTTGCTCATGCCTAAATTTGCAATTCCCATGAACATAAATAAAAATCATTTTGAAACATCAAAATATTTTATTTTTATAAGAAAATAAATTTTTAAAAATATTTTTAAAACCACCTATCGGCAGGAATTTAATAGCTTCATGAGAATACATAATAAATTAACTCATCATAATGAGCGTACTGGATCCTATCTAGACATCCATCATTTTTCTAAATGAAATTTAGCCACCCAATGTTTCAGGTTGTGTAGCGCTTGCTAAACAAGCTTAACCATCACATCAAAGCATACTAAATTATCAAATAGAAAATAACAATATCATCAAGTCAAATGGACCATGTAACAATTTGAATTCTCTATCTCTTAGGTGACTCATCCTAGAGAATTCAAATACGGTCTAGTGCTACACACATCATAATGCATGCTTATGACATAGACCCGGAGAATCTCCATTTCCGATGGTTGAGACCCACCACCATATCTCATATATCGGTGTCATGCATAATAACATGTTATAACAAAGTTATCCTTTACTAATTATAGGTTAAGCATAAATTTAAGAAATTTCTAAGTTAAATCATATCTCCAAGCAAGTGACCATCACAGTACATGATCTAACAAAATAACTTCTAAAGATATATATATAACAATTATATAAATAATACCCAAATTATGTGCAACAAATAAATTTATTAACATTACAATATTATTACATAATTTATATTGGATGTTCAAGGTCAAATTATTATTACTATTCCAACAATCTCCCACTTGCCCTAACATCCAATCAGATGTAATCCTTACTCCCACCTGTCAAAAATATTTTAAGAAAATTGTCTATAAAAGGGCATTAAATGTTGTCTGCTTAGCCATCTATTAAACCATAACATATTTCTTCTTATTAACCTTTAATAAGATAATTTTTCTTTCTAAGCTTCTTGCAACATCTCCATTACTATCAAATAATAATGAGAAAGAAAATTATTACAAGAAATAATATTAAGCTTATGGAGTAACTCATTAATCCATATTCCTTCTTTTAATGATTTAACATGGCACTACATATTCTGCTATTATTATTAATGATATAAATATAACCCGAAACAGACTTTCTATTATTAGGATTGAATTGAAAACTACTTACAAGATCAATAGCAACCTTTTTGGGACACATTTTTGGGACACATTTCCTTAAAGAGTGATTGTTTATGTCTTATAGGAACCATTCCTTTCTTGGAATCTTGTTAAGTTGAATCTTTTATGGATCTTATCCATATAAGTAGATTGTGACAACTCTATATATCTATTTCTCTATCTATATAGAGTTTAAGATCTACGATATAGAATGTCAAAAGAAAATCCTTCATAAAGAACTAAATCATACTTTTAATCATGACATTAAAATATTATTCTTAATGAGCAATATGTCATCAACATGCAATGATAGGAATATAATGGACTTACTTTATTGTTCCTTATACACACATTATTTCTTTTTAAGGATATGATCAATCATTTCATCAAAATGAATGTTTGATTGATTAAGTTCATAACTTTAATTGATTCAATTAATCAATTTTATCTTCTTGAATTTTACATACTTTATTCTATAATATGTAAATATCTTCTTAAAGATATCCATTCAAGAAGGTTATTTTAAAATTCATTTATTGATATCTTATATTCATAACAGGTTGAAATGACTAAATGGATCCTTATGAACTATAATATTACAACTAGTAGAAAAGATTCTTCAACAATTAATAACCGTTTGTCATTAAATGTGACATCAGCTCTCTTACATGAAATCATATCCAACATGATTTTTGTGTAAGTTTTAGGATTTTTATTCTCCTTGTTACTTTTCATCAAATATATTTTAACAAGGTTACTGTACTATACAGGTGGATGAAAATCCTATTTGATCTCCTAATTGTAATCAGTATATTCAACAATAAATTAAGTAAGTAAATCTCTATTTACTTTATTACTTGAAGCTCCCACTGAATTTATAGAATCTTCAACTCATTTGAAGTTTCTCTCACTGGATTAAATAACTCTCCCATTAAAGAAAATAAATTTTCTTCTAGAGTTATATCAATCCTTGCTCAACAAACTTGATTTTATATAAGAACACATTTCTAATGATAACTATTGTCTAAAAAATACACTAGGATTATCAATATAATACCTAGTACTTTCTTTAGGATAACCTACCAGTAGGATGTTATTTATCTTAGACTCCCATTTTGTCCATATTTTATTCTCTGATGAGAATATGACAACTCCAGATCTCCAAGCGTCATACACTTAATTTTCTTCATATCCATGTCTAATATGGAGTGAAAGAAAAAGATGTGGCAGGAATTCTACATAATAAATAATATGCAATCTCCAATGCATAACCTATAAGAAAATAAGAACAGGTTAATGCCTAGCATAAACCTAACCATATCGAATAAGGTTTAGTTCCATCTTTCAGACAAATAATTAGGAGTGATAAATTAGTAGATGTCAAAGTACTAACAATTCCATTTTGTTCATAAATCTCTTAACTCCTAAAAATAGGAACTTTGCCATCTGGATCAAATCAGATGACTTTGATACTTTTATCAAACTCCTCTTTAACTTCAATAACATTCTAATTTATGATGCAATCACATAAATATTTAACTATTGCTTTAACATTTAAAGGATCATATACATCTGAATGTATGAAGTCAAGAGTACGCAAGAGCTTTAGCACTATTTTAGAAAAATAGTTTGGTCATATGTCTCTTAGAAAATATTTACAAGTTGAGAAATATTCTAATTTAGAAAAATCAAAGGACTATCCTTTATCAATTTATTGATCTTATCAACATTAACATGACCTTGTATTTTTGTGCCAAAGATAAGTTGGATTACCTTGATCCAATCTATATTTTAAGAGATTTATCAATTCCAATAACATTACATAAGAGTTAAGGGTGGCAATCATGAAAAATAAACGGTTTTAATTTCACAATTATCAACAAAGTAATTTCTAAACTTTTAATAGAAATTATATTTTACAAGAAAATAGAAAATCATTACTATAAAATTTAGAAAATAGAAATCAAATTTCTTCTAACTTTAAGAAACATTAAGACAATCTTTAAGTTTCATTTCATGCCCTTCACTCAAAACAGAAACAAATTTCTTATTATTCTTATTATTATTTACAATGCTGAAACTGGGGCTTTTATTTTCATTGTCAAAGTTAATCTTTTCATGTACTCTTACAACAAATTTGTAAGTATGTAAAGTCATGTACTCTTACAACAAATTTGTAAGTATGTAAAGATAAACTAGAATGAATACATCATATATAAAAACCATTCACATTAGTAGACTCTACTAATCAATGTAAAGATAAACTAGAATGAATACATCATATATAAAAACCATTCACATTAGTAGACTCTACTAATCAATAGGTGAACTATCTTCAAAAGACATTTTTTTATTAAGTGCCATAATGTAACCTTTACAATTTTCTTTTCTAATGACTTTCATTATTTAAATTTCTGCTTCATGTTTAGAAACCTATTTTACTTTTTAGATTTCCCTCTTAAGAAAATTTTCTTTTCTTAATACTGGACAATCCAGTTCGATATCCATCATTATGGATTTAACCTGCTTAATAATATTCTTTTCACTTTTTCTTTAACAAGTTGTTCAATTCTAATATAGTGATAGTTAAATTGAACAATGGGTGCGATTAGAAAGTAAATATCACATCAACGTTAGATTTCGATCTTAACTTCCAACAAATCTAATTTGTCAATATATATCAAAACATCTTATAAAAATATATATCAGTGTTCATCTTATGAACATTACTTTTATCATTATTATCTTTAAGCAGGATTATGACTGATGATCTTTA